CAACTGAAATGGGTATTTGGAAAATGAAAATGTACATGCATTGCTGTTTTTTTCTGTAATATTTGTCTTGAAGTGGCTTAGATGATATTTGGTTGGTTCTTATATCTTTTCAGATGCAACTGTTTATTGTGTCAAGTTTAGCTAACTTGTAGCAGTCAAGTGGAGCATTATTTGTCAATGGATTACTCGTATATATTTACATCAATGGCTGCAACTGTCTTAGAAGCAACATGACCTCTCTGGGATAGTAAGTAACTACTTACACAATACAACTCACTAGTGTGCTGAATCAGCAATAGTGAATGGTTCCCTGCAGAGATTTGTGCAAGGCAAGTATTGTATTTCAAGTTCAGAGGGACCACAAAAGGAGGGACCTTGAGAAGTATAGTAATGTTATGCTTACACCTAGATTAGTAGATACAGTCTGATACAGACTCACAAATCTCAATGTATGTAATAAATAATAAGTATAATGTACCTTTTCCATTTTCTGGTACGTGGATATTTAAATCCCTTTCGTGTGGTGGTAATTCTGATTCCTCATCATAATAAGAATCTAAACGACGATAACTAGTCTCCAAGTGAGCCATATTTACACTGTGATTACACCACACTCCTCCCCAGGGAGTATTGAGAGTCCACTAATTATTTAATCTGGAAAAAATAAAAAAATGTCTTGTGAATGTGTTCAGTTAAACACATAATGTACATGATTATGTGATGTTCATAGTCTTATACATAACATTAGAAAATACCCTTCATTCGAATAGATAGGGTATACATACACTCATATTTCTTTGTACTGGTGATCAACATGGTGTGAAAGACTATGGCCACTTCGCCACGAAGGTCACCAGATGCCACCTTTGTTCTCTCACCTTATTGTTATTTTTGTCTTTGTTTCACATTCAATTTAATCAACCAGTCTGATCGTTTAATCCAGTCCAAAGATAAGAGATCTTGTGGCATAACTACAATGTATGTAATAAATATTAGTACTAACGTCATTAATGTTGACAAACCCACAAAATATACCGGTAATGGATTAATAGAATATAATATATTACCGGTGTTTTAATGAGAGAATACGTCTCATGGCTACCAATGAAGATAAATCATTGTGTCCGGGGCGTTTCTCAGTGAAAGCCTCACCAGTCAATAATGAGGCACAGGCAAATACTACGAACCTGTAAGGCCGGGCTCACTACTTCCGTGGAAATGACACTACAATTTAATGAATCAATAATAACCGATCACTGGTGTCATAGTAAGCGTTATTCATCTACCCCTAAATCGGTAACTGGATAAGCATTACGAAGTTATAGTTACACGGATCATAAATGGGGTTTCACCTTGATTCGGACAAGAAAGATTGCACATTAAAACGTAATCATCCGGTACGGTCGGGTCATATCATGTCAGCTGAATTTAAAATAGCATTGACGCATTCTAAATATCGGTGACGAACACTGGGAGGGATACGAAATCGGGAGAACTATTTGTCGAAAATATCACTTCAATGTCTTACCTGCTTCCTAAGGCATAACATATCGTAATGAAAACATCTCAGAAGGCCGCAAAGTCGTTGAATTCTTCGCAGTATTCCTTTCCCGTACAGCTCTCCGGACAAAACACAAATAACAACAAAGGTTATGCTCATGCGCACTAAGGAACAATTAACAATTATTATTTTACTTCACCAAGCAATGACGAAAATAGAACAACTCATTGCGCACTAGAGTGACGAATAATCACTGGACTGTTAATATCCTGAAAAGTGTTAAAATTATGACTTAGCCGTTGTTAGTAGGATGTTCTTTGCGAAATATATGTTTCTATATGTGGAGTAAAGAAATAACAAACGGAACTTTGAAAGCAGCCATTTTAAAATTTGAAAGGACGAAGTGTACTGTTTTGTTGCGGTTATTCCTTCATTTCAATCACTACTGGTGCGAAACTTTTACGAAAAATGCATACTATCACGGGTCAGCCAGTAAGTACAATGGATCATTAAATTTCATTATTAATATTATTTAGAAAACAGCTTGCTAATTATAACTGTTAGGATTTCATCGACGATTTCACATGGCCAGATTGATGATCTCTGCTCGGCGCAACAAAATGATCAAGTTAACTATCTGATCAAGTTCACTATCACATAGATCACGGGACAACATTGTACATCCGATATTTACTGTCTGCGTTGTATTTTTTTTTTACTGTAAAAAATCTTAGAGAATCATTATTTTGCAAAGGCTATTTACTGGGTTACAGTTCAGAAATGTCACAGTACGTCTAACATTGATTCACAGTGAATGCAATCACGGTGACACATAATTGAACGTAAATTCGCTGAGTTGAGCAAATATTATTGGTTAACCTAGCTGTTAAAAACAGTACATTGTTTCCATGATTTTATTCAAATCATTATGGGACCTTTCAATTCAATGGAGGTTTGTTATGCCACAGTTTTCATTACATACTCTGCCCCATGGCTGTGAATGTACTCATGATGAGGCTTCATTTTCAAGGGCTGCTGTGATAAACTGATGATGTTGTAATATATGTACTATGATTTATTAGAGAACTAAATTGCAAATTAAGAAAGAGCATATGGTACTGTACGTGTACTGTACAACTCAGATCAAGTCTGGGTTTCTGGTTTTCTTTATACCGTATATAATAATATGAGGTTATTACGAGCATACCGAAAAGTATACACAAAGACAGTACAGCGAGAGTATCGACCAACATGCAGCAGAGGTTGATGCTACGACGTACGGTCTGAGTGCTGTATCCTCGTAAAAACCTTATTATTATACATCTTTTCCTCTTAATTATACATCATGGGATTGCCGAAATCAAAAAAGTTTAGAACAGAATCAGCGAACTTCTTTGTGTGGAGTCCGGTCAAACCTTGGTGGTAGCCATGTTTGTTTTTATATACTAGTACCCTGTAAAATATCGCAAAATACGACACGTTGTAACTTTCATGGCGTTACGGTGACAGATGTATACATTGTAATATTATAATATACATGATGTGGTTACTACATTTGTCAAGTGGTAACATGGCAGGTTTTACCCTACAAATAGTAGCATTTCTGTATCAAGATAGATGATTTTGAAGTTGAAAGGCAATCACTGGAGTAAACAAATCTCACACAAACAATTACTAAAACTGTTGTGTCAAATAAGTCTTTCACACAGTGAATCAACATAATATACTGTAAAATACTTTATTTTAGCTGGAATTAATTTTCGCTGGAAAGACTATTCAGGTATTTTGTATGGAATTCATTTTGACCGATTTTTAAGTTGAATGTAAAATATAGGAAAAAAAATATATTCGCTGGATTTTATTTTAACTGATTTACAATAAATAAAGTATTTTACAGTGCCTTTATGTTATGTAGAGTTAGATATTGCACTGTACCAATGAACTTTAACTGAACTGTATGCAGGGATCTGCCCACGCTGCTCGGCGCCGGTCACTAGTGACCGGCACTCAGAATTTCCGACCAGGACAAAAGGTTGGTGACCAGCACTATTGTTTAATTATGATACACACAGGATGTCGGCCACTGGACCATCATTTTATTGTCCTTGTTGGTTTTAAGGTAGCGGGACTATTATTTGCATACTTATTTTCATCTTCTAATTGTGACCAAATGACTACAAATCGACCCAGGAAAGTATA